ACGAATTATTCGTTATACATACCGCATAATTCGTTATAGCGTTAACGAAGATTCTTATAATGAAGTCCTGATCGGCTAGATCAGCAACTTCATTATATCGAGGTGTGACTGTAGATGTAAAAGGTAAGCACCTCAATATCCTAACAGATAATCAAAAAGACCCAGAAGGATAAAAACTTCGACATAAAACTTAGAATCCAAGCAAGTATAGACAGTCTACAGAACTTAACAACTAATTAACTAGAGAATCCCACCAGCACAAATTATATTAGAAAATATTTTATTAGTGTACAACATATAATAAAAATAGTCGTGTTTAAGTTATTTAATCATAATTATATTTAGGTTATTTAATCACATAATTAGAAATAATAAATAGAAAAAAGGTAAAGAAAAGTGATTTCAAAGGTAATGAATATAGTAGGAAAAAAAGAAGATATAAAAAATCGTCATTCTTAAGTTATTTAATTAGATTATTTAATTACAACTAGGTTATTAACTTTAGATTATTTAATTATATCTAAAGTATTTAGATTATTTAATTATATTTAGATTATTTAGTAATATCTAGATTATTTAGTTATAGCTAGGTTATTTTATTACTAAATAATCTAATCTAAGCTGATTATGACTAAATAATATAATTATATTATTTAGTCATAATCGGCTAAAGCAGTAGATCTTTAAAAATCTAAAACTTTTTTAACAAAATCTCTAATTTTACTAATTATTAATTCTTTAATTTCATCTTTAGATGATTCAAATTGATTATGTTTTTAAGGCTTATCAAATAAAACTTATAAAAATTTATTAAACATACTTCAAAAACTTAGAAATATTATAGGTAAAAATATTAATAGCTTAAATTTACTTTTATTTTATTTTTAAAATGAAATAAAATTATTAAGTCTAGGATGTTCTTGATCGACAATTCATTACTATAAAAGGAAAGATCATTATACTACATTTAGTAAAATCTCAGATTGAAGTATTGGCTATTTGTATAATCATGTGATAAGTCTCACAATGGGAGGAGAAAATTAGTTAAGAAAAATCGACGATCATTCCGATCATTTTTCACCCAAACAAAAATTTCGTCATATAACAGCTTTTTTCATGTCAGAATATAAATCAAAAGGAAAATTAAGTTTCAAAGGCGAACGAGAGACAAAGTAAAAATTAATTTATTAATAAAAATTATTTTTTTTTTTTCTTTCACATTTTCTTAAAAATAATTGGTTCAACTTTTTTTTTTTTTTTTAATAATAGAAAAAAGAAAAAACGTAAAGCTGAAGTATCAATCGAAGATGGAGGAAATCAAGAAGGTATTTTATTTTATTTTTTTTTTTATCTTAATCTCGTTTTTATAAATCATAAAAGGGTGGTTTTCTAATCATGTATCTTTTTAGGTTGGGTTTTTGCGGAAGCACAAGAAGACTTAATCGGGCCTCTATTCTTAATCTTCAACAGTGAATCATTATTTTGTTTATGTTGTTCGGAAAAAGATCATAGTATTGGTTTACAACCTTTACCGGTTGATAAACAACTCTCAACTTGTGAGCCTGAAGACATACCTTCGGTATTTATAGGTTCTAGAATTATTGGAAGTTCGGATCGGATTTCAATAAAAACATTTGATGGAAAATATTTAGCGTCAGATAAATTTGGTGTAATCACAGCGGAAAGAGAAGCAATTGGACCTCAAGAAGAATGGACACCTGTTATAAGGGATGATGGAATTGCATTACAAAGTTCTTATGAAAGATTTTTAAGTGTTGATGAGATTGCTGGTGGTGGTTACAGTTTAAGAGCTGATGTTGAAACCATTGGGTTCTGTGAAACTTGGAGGATAAAATGTCAAGCTAGATTTCGAAAAAAAGTTAAAAGTACGAAAAAAGAAACAAAAACGATTAATGAATATGAGATTGAGCAAATGTATGTTTTTATTATCATTATTTGTCTTTAACGAGTTGATTTATTGATTATTCTTTGATTAAATATTTTACAATCATTTTCAACATTATCTATAGTAAAAAATATCAAACTTGGGGAGGTGGAAGAATAAAAACTTCTAAAGAAGAGGTATCAGAATTAAAGAAAGCAAAAAAAGAAGGAAATTTTGCTGAAGCGTAAGTTATTTCATTATCCATTTTTGTTAACTTCTTATATATGAAAAAAAAATATATAACCAAAAAATACTTGATGTTTTACAGGTTACTCGATCGCCGTGAAAAAGTAAAGGCAGATCGTTATTGTAAATGAGATAATTAAAAGTATATAAAAGTGTACATTAATTAATGAAGTGTAATTGTAGAAACTATGGGAATTCTTTTTATAAATTCTTTTTTTTTTTTTTAATAAATGTTTTTCTTATTATTGAATAAAATACACAAAAAAAAAAACAGTAAAAAATCTAGGAATAGTCTATTGATAAATTAAAGATCATAAAGGCTTAAGAGGTTTACAAAGAAAGAGAATTACATGATATAATAATAACAAATAAAAACATTATAATAATAATAATAATAATAATAAAGATTAGAGAATTTGATGATGAAAAATATTTTATATATATTTACTTACCTGAAATGAATAATAATTATAACTTATTTATGTAAATCAAAAAAAAAGTATGCTTAAATGGCCTTAGGTTTGAAATGCTTAATAATCCGCGGATGTATTACCTAATTTATAAAAAATATCTACATTATAACCAAAAATGAAAGAGGTATTAAATGTCAAAATTGATTGATTTATTATGTATGAATATGAATGTTGTTTTATACAAATTATGATTGTGACTATTAATTACACCGTTAAAATGTTTTTTTACACTAACCTAATGAATGTACAAGCAAAAGAGCAGAATAACACAAACTATCTCCGTTCAGAGGGAGACCCAACTTCAACCGACTGTTATGAAATTCGAAAACGTAAACAATAAGAAGATAAGAATTGCTTCATCAGAAATTATCAAACCATGTTTCAACAACACATCATCATTCCTATCATTACCACTATTGTCCGAATTTGCTGATTTAATACTATCCGCCATATGTTCGTGACGTGTGCCGTTTTCCATATGACGCCCATTAGTTCTATTCGTTGTCTTGCTTTGAAGTTGCGAGAGTTCTGCTTTATGTAACATTTCCTTTTGATTGGCAATAATCATCCTGTTCGACTTGATTTCCTCTTCAAGTTCGCTAATGATATCTCGTTGTCGTTGTATTGTCTTTCTCAATTCGGCGTGCTCTGTGCTACCAATAAAATCACGGCCGCTTCCACTACGAGAATGTCCTTTCTTGCCATTTTCAAGAAGTCGAATCTTCTCTAATTGTTCTTCTATAACTATTTCCAATTCTTGGGTTGTTTTTCGAAGTTTTTCCACATCATTTTGTTCATTATTTTTTTGTATCCGTTTAGCGGCATTTAATTCCGTGGTTAATTGTTCGATCATTTTATTCTTTTTATCAAGTTCTGATGTGAGAAGGGCTAACTTCGCATCCTTTTCCGCAATTTGAGTTTCAAACTGAGGATTTGTTGTTAAGTTGTTAGTCTTAAGACCAGAAGATTTATAAACTTAGTATATAATCAACGATTAAAAAAGAAGACCCCCCAAAAAGTCGCCAATTATTTAAAACATTATATAAAATGTAACTAACTTGTTCCATTTCATTAGGTTCAACTAAAACTTTACGTGATTGACTTCCTGAGAACGAGGAATTATTCAAAATCAACTTGGTTAGATGATCAATTCTTTCTTTTAGGGCTGTTCGTACAAGTTGTGCTTCCATCATCTGTTCCTCATGCTACATCAAAAAATGAACACTATTATACTTCATGAATGTAACAGAATATTTATTGTGTTTCAAGTCTTACCTTGGCTTTTTCTTGTGCCAACATTTGCGATAACTCGGATTCCTTCTCTTTGTCATTAGATACATTAGTTATTTCAAGCTTAGCCTTGAGTTCCTCAATTTCAATACGATATTTTTGTAATAAAGCTTTATCATCCATGACCTAAAGGATAACATTCACAAAATGTTAGATTAAATCGAATCATATCTTTATATAATCAAATGAAATATGAATACAAACTGCATTGGTATGTGCTTTCGTAACAACTTTCTTCACTCGAGCTGCAAATTTAAGGGTGTTTTGCGACTCTTCGATATTTATAGCCGATGGTGAAATAGTACATATTACAGAAACCCGGGCATTTCCACTGAGTGAATTTTGCAGAATACGTGTCAACTTGGAATCACGAAACGGTATATGTCCACTATTACATGAAAAAAAAAATCAAAAAAAGATTCAATCAGCTGATTTCGTGAAGAATAAATAAATGTTCGTTATAAAGTTACCCATTACTATCTGTAAGTTTAGAAATAACGGTGCCTAATGTGAGCAAACTGAAAAATCAATGAAAAATTTGTTAGTACACAATTAATTAATTCAAAGATGTAATTAAAATATTTGTATCATAAACCTTTTGTTAATATAAGCTCCTTCCTTTCGACGATCCGCCGAGGTTGTAGCTTTTTCTGAACCAGCCAAATCTATTAAGTTCTAGTTATCAAAATGGAAAGTAATATGATGAATTGTGGCGATTAAATAATCGTAATTTATATCATTGTCCAATAATTACCAATACGGAAAGCGATACTGAAGCGCCAGACATTTTCGGACCAGCCGTAGTGTAACGATGAGCAGTAGGTGGCGATAAACCCTTCGCAGTGCTCTCAATAACCTTTCGACAGACGATTCAGTTATTAAAATATTGGATGTCAAAGGTTTCTTTAATCATTAAAATATATCAACTAAAATTACCATTTGAAATATTGTATGTGACCGACTACTTCGCTCGTTCCAATCAGTTGCACTCATATGTCGATTGGCTAGTATAATAAGGTGCAACATAAGTATTCGTCCTTTTCGAAATTAACATTATTGAAATTATAATATCTCACCTTCTCCCTTCATGATTTCTTTTAATACTTGTTTAGGTGTTGAAACAACAACTTCTTTGAGAGGACTCACATATACACCTCGCTAAAAAAATGTTATGAAATGAACTTGATTATCTCAAACATGAAATCAGTAAATAATCAAATAATCAAGTTAAATACTCGTTTGTCTTCATGAATTCTCAAGTCTTCAGTCTCTGGCGATAAAAGATCGCGCACAGTTTCATTATAAATTTCCATGTACGAAACACGAAGGAGAAATTCTTTTTCCTGACACTGTGTTAAAAGTTCATTGTAAAATTATTGAAATCAGTCGATTATTAAATTCGAACATAAAATCATGCTTACCTCTCTGATATAATTAAACACACATTCTACTGCCTGTGGAATAACGCCTGGTTGCGAATCAGTACCTATATGATAATAAAAAGAAGTAAGTTAATTTGTTAAATAAATAAAGCCACTCATTACATTAAGGAATGATTCATACCCGTCTGAAATTTCATATGGTCAATTTGATCCAATTAAAACAAATTGTAAACCTGTGGTGAACGTTAAAATTTATACTAAATAGAAAGTAAAAGAATTCATACCATCGTCTATAAAGGAAATTGAGATTAGATACAATCAGAGTTAACATAATATTTTGTAAATGACTAGACATTACAATATGATGTAATAAGTAACTTACAAAAGTTTTACCCGAAGAGGTCTGACCATAAGCGAAGACCGTACCTGTATAATGAGAAATTTACAATAACCAAATTTGCGAATTTGTTTAAAAAAAAAAAAAAAAAAATTGTTGCCTTATTTATTAAACATACCATTATAACCTTCCATAGTAGACCTAAGATCATAACAACGTTATTGAAATATATTAATATTCACGATCGATCAAACTACAATATTTTACTCTCGCTCACCTAACCGTATCTCGCACGCCTTTTTCGAACAAAACCTTGTTATTACTACCTGTGAATACCGCATCTATTATTATAGAAAAGAATGAAAAAAATTTGTACACCAATTTACAAATTTGAATAATTAAGATAAGGTAGGCATAAATTCCGAAAGAAATGTCAAAGAATGTAACAAAGGTTTACCATAAAAATATTCCGCAGGTTGCTTCCTATATCGTTCACAATAATCGGTCAGTATACTAAGTTTTTGCAAAGTATTATCAATTTCCCAAACTTCAGTTTCACCTCTACTCATTTCGACTGCATTTGGAGGTCTAACTCTAACAGTGACCTTAACATTTTGCCGATTTGAAGATTGGTTTTGATTAGGTGAAGGTGAAGGTGAATTACTATGACTGTTAGCACTTTGCTTAGGAGTCTCTGAAATTGTGGAGGGAGAAGCAGGTGTACTCAGTGTCGAACTAATAGTGGGAGTAGCTTTTGGTGGCTGTGGGCTCCTGGCCCGAGAGAATGTTCTTTTAATTGAGAAGGACATTAAAGAGAAAAGAAAAGGTATGTAAAGATATAGAAACTGATCCGTAAGCCCGGTATTTTTTTATATGCAAAGTCAGCTTTTTATTTATCATGACATAACACATATAAACATATAATTTATAATACAATGGACAAAAACAATTACCTAAGTAGTATGTTTACGTTAAACCTCGTGCTGAATCTTGCATTCAATTTTATATTTTCCCTTTGCAGTAAAATCAAAGCCTTAATATATTAAACTTTTAGTGATCTGGAATTTATTAAGTAAACCGAGAACAAAGAACGTTTACTTTATAATACAAGATTTTCCCTTGTTTCACTTTTCCTACAATTGAGGAGAGGGTTCCCGTCTCCTGATAAATTGGTTTTTCCGTTTGGGTCCCGAATATTCTGTTTAGTATTTTTTCACGTGATCTTCATTTTTTTAATTCCATAATGACATGTATTGTAATTTTGACCAGAATTAAATGTAACGTGATTTCCCCGTGATGTTTAAGAAATCTTTTTTTGTTCACGAATAGAAAGAACAAATGTTCTTTTTTTATACAAGAAATAAAAGAAATAAAAGCCTGGCCTCTCTTTTATGAACCATAAGTATAGATTTACAATTATCATTTAACAAATTAGGATCAAAATGGAAAATTTCAAAATGACAATAATAAAGAACCAATATTATTAACCAGTGAATTTTTTGTAATTTTATTATTTATTTATTTCTTATTAAAGACGTTTTTACTTTAACCTTCTTTTAAAAACCGCCAAATAAAAAAAAAAAAGGAAACTCATTATAAGGGAGGGAAAAAAAGCTGTACATATATAATCAATTTAATTAGGAATATCCTCATAAAACATGATTACAGAAAAAAGAAAAATAAGGTGTGAGTGTGAACTATTTGTTAAGAATTAAAAAAAAAAAAAAAAAAAATTTTGAAATAGAAAAATAAAATCATATACCTCCAACAAATCAAATTTAATTTTGTGAAAAGAAAAAAAAAAGATCCACCACGCAAAAGCTATAAAGAATAATGTAATGTATTTTATTTCTTACAGATTACTATTTTTTTTATACTGTATTATAACTCTGTATGAATATATATATTATATATATATATATATTAAATTCTTGCGAGAGTGCCTGATTCATCACGATATTATTTTACTTTGAACTTGTATATTTGGTCACAGCCTTAGTTCCTTCTGAAACGGCATGTTTAGCTAATTCACCTGGCAATATCAAGCGAACAGCTGTTTGGATTTCCCTCGAAGAGATAGTGGAACGTTTATTATAAGCTGCAAGTTTAGAAGCCTCTCCAGCAATACGCTCAAAGATGTCGTTAACAAACGAGTTGAGGATAGACATTGCTTTGTTTGAGATACCCGTGTCAGGGTGAACCTAAATAATTAGCACACGGATATTATAAACATTAGTTATCATTATATTTAAGTTTTAAAGATATTATTCGTCGAGAGTATTTTTTTTTTTTTTTTTAAAAAAAAAAAAAAAAAAAAATTAACCCCCTCCCCCCTTCAAAATTGGTACTCCATGAAAAATTAAGGAATATAGTATGAAAAATAAATAAATTATTATCCCCTTCGCTAGCTTATTTAGATTCGTATAATAACAACCCAATTCAGAATGAAATTTAGTTACTTTGACATAAAGAAAATTTATATACCTGTTTCAAGACCTTATAGATATAACTTGAGTAAGTCTCTTTGCGAACTTTTCTTCTCTTTGGTTTGTCCCCGGTTTTCTTCTCTTTTGGTGCCTTAGATGCTGGCGCTTTAGCGGGAGCTTTACCGGCCGGTGCTTTAGCAGCGGCAGAACTAGCAGTGGTTTTTCCACCTGTGGTTGGTTTGGCGGTAGTACTTTTTGGTGGCATTTTGAGAAAAGTTTTTAAAATATTCGTAGAGGTTTTTAAGATTTTTAATAAAGGAAGATTGACACTTGTTGGTTCGTAAAAAAAAAAAAAAACTAAACGTGAAGAAAAGTCGTAAGGTCCCTCAAATAATATGATTTATAATGATTGATTTTAGGGTGAATAATGATTTTGGGGTGTGTTTATATATGAATGTGCAATCCAAATACGCGTTACTGTATTGCTGTGCCAAACGCGTCAGGTGTCCAATTGGCCTTACCATATCGGGATGATTGCAATGTACAAGAAAAAATATACCAAAACATGCTTACAAAATAATTTGATTGGGTAACATTTTAAAAACGCGTCCGTAAATTTTTCCTGAAGCAACGGAAATTGTTCTAGTATAATGATCGGTATTTTTGATTTATTATACTCAGCATATCGATGAAACTTTTAGAGAATTCATGATCATCCCTTAAAGATTTAAAAAATATATAATAAAAAAAAAAAAGTTGACAAAGCTTTTTTTAATTCAATATTCTAACCGGTACAAAGCATGGTTCATATGATGTGATGGGTGGAAACTTGTGATCTCGCGTTATCTTTTCCTACCTCTGGAGAATGAGACTTGCAACAATTTGATCTTATACTGATGTACTTACCTGTATTAACCGATGCCTGCTGGATTTGATCGCAGATGCAATCTGCTGCCTAATAAGGTTTGTGTTTGTTCAAAATTTTCATATTGTTTTATAATCTGGATCTCATCAAGTAATCTTAATTGTTACCTGTGTCAACACATTGTTTGTGCCATTTTAATCTTGTTAAATCTCTGCAGAATTGTCCTCTTTGATTTTGCGTGATTGATGCGTAAGTCGCCCAACGCATGTCAGTCTGATTGCACATGTTTGTATTACGAACATGTTGTAGAGTTGCTGACACATATACCGGACTTTCTAGGATGGAATTGTTTTTTTCCATTGATGTATGTGATTGTGATGTTGCCAACCTTTAGATTTTAATTAAATGACTTTTTTTCATTTGATATTTAATTAAATATAACTGTATTTATATTTATATATATATGTCGATAATAATGGGGTATGATATGATAAGAAACATCGAAACTTTTTTAATCATGACAACAATAAAGATTTTTTGAAAGCGTGGAAAGCTGTTATAAACCTTGATGACGATGATGTTGTCGTCGATATATATCATATAATAAGGGTAAGAGCTAGTACCTTCCTTAAAATACCCTTGAAAGGTTCAAATACCTCACTTTCACGTTATCAAAAGAGATTATGAAGCGAGAAGATAACAATGTTGATTTACGAAATTCTCTCGATGATCACGAACTGAGAAAGTTCTATAGATTTTTCACTATTTTTTTCCTGGTTATCACGTCACCTATATTTGTTGTCAATTCATTACTATCAGGGAATTTTCCGATTACGTTTTATTGTAATCACCTTTTTACTTTAATTAAAGATAACTGAAGGAATATGTGAAAAAGTTTCAGAATGTCAAAAGTTTTCTATTTAAACACATTCACATCATTCATTTGATTTTCTTAATATTAATTTCAAAATAATTACACTTATAGCTTATTTATTAGGGTAATCTAGACCTCACAGGTAATTATTCTGAAACTAAATCTTTATTTTTTAGAAAAAGACTGAATAGATATGGTTAAAACTTTAAAGAAGTTAAACTTTCAAAAATAACTATTTCAGATACTATGTATTGTTAACATGCAATCCTTGTAAATTGTGATAGTTAGACAGAGTATTGAAAATTATTTTTTTCTAAATTTACATATTAAAACATATGATTTATACTAAATAAAGTTTATACTAAGTATAGATATTTATATATAAATTTTTATTATTGAAGTGTTATATAATTGATAGTTTATTAATAAAAATAAGAAAGGAAATAGAAATAAATAAAAAAAATAAGAAAAATTATTTAATTAAAGGTAAATGCGTTTAATGAAATTAAGTATTACCTAATTTTTTAAGTTTATACAAACTATTAAGAGAAATTCTATTAAGAGAATCTGATCTATCTTAAAAGTTTAAATAATTGAATTCTATATATATATTTTAAAATATATATAATAAAGATTGGTGTTGCAACTAGTTGCAACCCTGTAATGCTTATTTATTACCAGTTGCAACTACTGTAGTTACAATGTCATTTTTAAATAAATAATATATTAACTATCTTAGCTTTTTCAACTATATTAACAATTTTAACTACTTTAATTATTTTAACTTAATTAACTATGTTAATTATGTCAAAATATCAAATTTGTTAAATATGTCTAATATATTAATCATATTAATTATATCATTTATGTTCATCACATCATTTAAGTTATACTATATAGATTATCTGATCACATTATCATTTTTTTTGATAAAATTGATGAGGTATTTAAAAATAAATTTTTTTTTACAAAAATAATTTTATTTTATTATTAAATTATATATTAATAGATCATTAAAAAATATAAAGATCCTATAATAGAAATTGATAATTTTTTTTAAAAAAGATTAAGAAAAGTATAATATTAAATTAAGCATGAAAGAAAAAAAGCATATTATTTTTTTTAAATATATCATTAGTTTATAGTAAATCAAATAAAACTAATATTTATATTAATTTATATTTTTATATTATTTTTATGTTAACTTTAATAAATATATTTTGATTAGTATTAAAACTTTAAAGATATAAAATTAACAATTTTAGATAATATTTTGATAGCTCTTTTTTTAACTTACTTATGAAAAAAGTTTCTTAATTAAAAGGAAGTTATAAGTTTATAAGAGAAAAAATGCTTGCATTTAATTTATATTTATATATCTTTTCTTTTTTTATATTCTTCAGAGAAGAAATATATTACTAGATATCTGTTTAATATTAAAATAAAAATTATTCAATAGTTCTATATATCAGGATAAGATTCTTAAAATCTTTTATATAACTTAAATTAGAGTTTGTATATTTATATGTTGTTACTAGATTCATTTTTAGTTATCTTAACATTTATGTTAAAAGGCTGTAGCAGTTAATTCTACACATTAGAGTTTCTAATCTTAGGATTTTCTTTAAATCCTATAGGTATCTATTATACTTAAATCATTTCAGCAATTTATTACGTTTTAGAATTTAAGATATATTAGTCAAACTTATAATGATAAACTCAATAGCAAATTAATAGGGTATCACAATAAATTCTAGATGAGGGATAACAGTGAAGGGAAAAGTAAATTTGTATGGATTTAAATTGATTCTTTTTTTATTTATAATACTAAAACTTGTAAGAAACTTACAAATAAGTTAATTTACAACTTAAGCAAAAAGCTATCCTATTTATATAAAAATAAATTTGCTATGATTAACTACTTATTATATTATAAATTAACTATTTTAGTAAATTTCAACTATAAAATAATAGTAAAAGAAAATAAATAAAAATATAAAATATAAGATAAATAATAATAATGATAAAAATAAAAGAAATAATAAAAATAATAAATATGTAAAGAATTTAATAAAATAAGCCAATTAAATAAATCTGATGAATTAGATGAATTTTGTAAATCCTACAAATTAAATAAATCAGTCTGATTTTTTAATATAATATGTCAATCAAAGATTTTTCTTAATATAATCTACATAAAATTAAATTTAATGACTTTTGTAAATCATTTTTCTAGAGCAAATTTTCAACATTAACAATATAAATTCTAGCAAAAATTATATATTATAAGGAATTTCAAAATTTGTTATTCTATATATCCAATTTTTAAGCTAACTAAATATTAGATTTTAATGATCTTAATATTATTAGAATCATCTTTATAAGAGAAATCTAATGATAATAAATTATAATTTTTAGCATTATTATTAATTAAGTTATTGTAAAAAATGTATTTTATTATATGTTATTTATGAGTTAAATAAGAGATGCTTAAAGTTCTGTTAGGATAAGCTAAAAATATAATTTTAAAGCAATATTAAAGTATAATATTAATAAATTAGAAACTTTAATTAGTCTTTAAAATATAGGAATTTTCAGAGATCTATCAAAAAAATTTATTAAGATAATATTAATTTAACTGTTATTATAAGAGATATTTTATATATATTTCTTATTTCAAATGAAAATATTTTAAATGATAATTTATACCAAATATTTATATTTAAAATTTATTCTTAGAATAAATAAGTAATTTTATAAAAATACAATAATTTTTAAGTTGAACATTCTTTTTTTATTTTATATAAAGGATGAACTTATAATATTTATAGTATAAATTGTAAATCAACTAATATTAATAAATTAGAAACATTACATAGAACTAAAATGTTAAATACTTTTAGAATATTTACTTGTTTAGAAAACATTTATTTTTATTTCACTATGTTGAGTATAAAAATAAATTAACATATTTATTATATTATATAAATTAATTGTAAAGTCTACTGATTGGAAATAGATTTCAATACATATAGCAAAATTATAGATTAATAATTTAATATAATATTTTAAAGTCTTATTTGTTTTAATAGAATTATAAATATAAATTAATATAATTAATATATATAAGAAAAGTTATAGTGATAAATTAGATTTTATGTCACAAATTTAATTAATCAAAGTTATAGAATAAAAGTTAGTTTTATTAAATAGAAAAATTAAATCTATACTATTCAATAATTATAATGAACTCTTATTTACAAATTTATTAAATTAAGTATAAATAATAAATTAAATATATTTAAATTTAACTATTCAAAAACTTAGTTAAGAATTAATTATAAAAACTAACTAAAATAACTGATTGTTAAGGTTATATGGAATTTTATTTTGTTTATATAAAACTTTGATTATTTTTATTACTAAATTAAGCTAAAGTAAAACTTAACTAATTATAAAAATATTATAAATATTATTAACTTAATTAACAAGTTTAACTAAGTAAACTATTTTAATTATATTTATT